GGAGGAGATGGCTCCTCCTTCTCCGGCAGAGCATCTGGTGAATTCGAACCGCTTATCTCTGGGATTGCAGTGCTGCTTCTTGCTACTAGGCCACCAGCGCTCCCCTAGGACTAGTCCATCTTAAGAACATCAGGTGAGATGAAGTTTTACCATGATTGCCTCTATGGAGCACTCTGGCTGCACTTTTCCCAGGACATATCTGCTAATTCTTTTGTTAGTACTCTTCTCCAACACTATAACTAAAAAGTCTCTTCTCCAACACTATAACTAAAAAGTATTAATTTTTATTCTGTCATCTTTATTCATTTTCCAACTCTCAGATGCATAGCAAGTAATTGAAAAGAATGACGTGGATTAATTAGGTGAACCTGTGTCAAATGTGATAACGGTTACCCTTGGTGGAGCTTCTCGATTAAAACAAGCTTGGAAGCAGGAGTGGCATCCACTTCCGAAATAGCTTGCCTCCAGAAACTCTTATGAATGTGGAGAAATGATGAAAGTTATACAAGTGGTCTTTCGTTCATAGGGTCACTATGAGTCATCTACGGCTCAACAGCAATTAACAACAATGGTAGTACTAAGGTGGTGATGATGAATCCAAGTACAATGAAATCATTGACAACTTCGATGAGTTGGTTAGGAACGTCAACTTTTTTGTACAAAGTCTAGTTCAAAATGGTGGATGGCTAACTATTGTAAAAGTTTTGTCACAGTGGTTAAATGCTGTGCACGAATAGATCTGTGGTTGAACTCACCAGCTGCTCTGCTGTTGAAGGATGTGGTATCTGCTCCTTACGATTGCTTTTTATGTTATTAGTTGCCATGGAGTTCGTTCTGCATTCGTGAGCTTGCCTGAAACAGAGTGAAAAACCCTACCCTGTCCTACACCATCTCAAGATCTTGTGTGAAACTTATTGTTGCCATCTTTGTGGCAATCCATCTCACTGAAGGTCCTCCTCTTTTTCACGGACACTCTGAATTCCCAAGCATGGCACCCTTCTCCAGGGTTTGATCCGTCTCTGTACCATGCCTAAGCTATTGAAATAAGACTTGCTATCTTTGTTCCCAAAAAAGTGTCCTGGTTATATGCCATTTCCAAGACAATTTTTTTTTCTCTTCTGGTAATCCATTCAGTACTCTTTACTTACACCATAATCCAAAAACACCAGTTCTTCTTTTACAACTCACCACTCAGTGTCTTTGAGTTAGAACCAATAACCGTAGAGATAGAACCAGTTCATGTCTGATACACTAGCTGGTTTTCAGAAGATTAAAAATTGCATTGGGGGAGATTTCCTATCTTTGACCTCTGAGCTGTTAGTGGATTAAAATCTCCAGAGAAGTGTTGTCTTTGAGTTGGCAGTGCAACTCTCTATGAACTAATCCCTCAGAGCTCCCTGAGTTTTTATTTAGTCTTTCTTATTGCATGCATGAAGCAATTTAAAATATCATGGCTAGGGTCAGGTGCACCTTAGTCCTAAAAGTGACAACTCTTTTTAACACAAAAAGAACTTTTTCAGGCTGTATAGCCGAGTGGACCTGGGGGGAGGGATTGTAAAGCAATGAAAAAATTTTTCTTTTACTTTTCCAAGAGGGGAGTATACTGGGCGGGGGGAGGACTGGGAGGGTAGAAAAGTGCAACAATGAATGAATGGAAATCCAAAGTCTCTGTAAATTTTCATTGAAACTAATAATAAATTTAAAAAAATTTTAAAAGATCTTTTTCAGATTTCCCCAATATAATA